CTGTGCCACATCATCATAAAGCTTCGACCTTCATCAATTTCTTCCCCTGCAACTTCCCCATTATAAAAACCTCAAATTTCTTCAATTTCTCTATGTTTCCTTAGAATCAAACCCTCCATGGTAGCATCTTCAATTCTTCTTTTTCCTCTCTCCTCTTTGTTTCTCAAAATCTTCAGTCTTTCCCTCTGTGCGAAATACATCCCCTGAATATTGCATTTGCATTCAATCACGTCTTTCATATTCTTGATTCTTTTCCAATCCATTTTTTCCCTGCTTCTTTCTTGTTTTCAGGAAATACCCATAAGTTTGTTCTTTCTATTTCTCCAAGAAATTTGGAGGGTTTGTAGAGGAGTCATTGTTTTGGGGGTTTACTATCTATCTTTGGGTCTTTAATTTGATTGGTTCTAAAAAGGTATTGTTTGGAACGGAAATGAGCAAAGATGTATTTTACTCCGGATATTTCAAAGAGTAAGAAATGTTTATTTCAAATTCAAGCTTTAACCCAGGAATTTCGATATCAAAATGAATTCGAGATTTTGCCGATGGATGCTTTTTAGTCGAGAACTAAGATATAATTAATGTAATAAACTCCAACTAGTTCTTTTCCAGTTGAATGCATTTTATTAGAAATAACAATTTCTATCATAATTGGTGGCCAGTAAATAATATTGCTTCTATGAAACACATCTAGGGCTTAAGAGCTATCCTTACTAACAATTTGGTATTTTTCCAAATATTAAGTATGTTCTACTTATCTTAATGAGCTTTTTTGGTCAAGAACAATTCATGTTTGCATATATTACTTATTGTTATATTATCTTGGGTCAGTTAGCTTGGCTTGCTATTTCAAAAATCTAACCCCATCAATTAGCTTGGCTCTGCTATTTCTCTGTTTCTAGCTAGTTGATTCTTGAATTGAGTAGCATTTAAGTTTTATGTGTACTGGTCTTGTAAGATGCCTAGCAACAAAAAGTTCGGTTGGTAAATTTTCTGCTAAATTTGCTTTATGGTAATTTGGCGCAATCATTTTGTCTATTCCAACTCCAATAGGACTCCCTTGACCACTCTTATCCTCCTCAAGAAGTCTCTTGTCCTCCAATATCTATGCCTATAATGTTTTTGCAGTATCAGCATTGGAACTTGAAAGAGACTTCTCAGCTTTCTGTAATGCAATTTCCGCATCATGCACACACTGTGTAGCCTCTAATTAAAAGCAACAGCTTGCTCGTCTAAACGCAGAATATTTGCCACCTCTTCCTCTGCTTTCAGCACATCCATCTATGCTTTCCTTGCATCCTCGTTCATCCTTTCCACTTCCTTCTGCAACTCTTTGTACCTAACCAATGAAGTTGAATTTCCCCTTAGACTATCTTCCAAGCCCCAGAGGCTTTAGATGCACAGTGCACAGTCATTGGAAACATCAATTCAAACCAAAATGCCTGCTATTCAATTTAATCCACAACATTTCTATTTGCACCTCATCTATGTGTTAGTACTTGATTTATCATCTGTTCTATTATCTGGTGCAGCTTTGTTATCCTTAATTGACCTGTCTTTAATGCTCTTAATAGCTCATTATTGACAAAGATGTTGGGCCATTTTGAATGCTGCAGGGTATAGTTCTACTTGAGACATAATGTTAGCATTACTTACAGCAAATTGAGAACATGCAGTGATTCGAAGTTTTTCCTTCTTAATTTATGTGGTGTTCTTCTTTTGTACAGACATGTATGTTTTATTTTTCGCAAAACATATTTGAGTAATAATAGGGACAATGAAAATTTGAGGCGAAAATTTGGGATCAATAACATGGTTTGTGTTATGTCATTAAATTAGTTGATACATGTAATATTATGAGTTTTAAAAAATAAAAGAGTTAACCATTAAATAATATAAGGTTTATATTTTAATATTCTAAATAACATAATTTATGTCATATCATTGGTTCAAATTTTAATCCTAAATTTTCATCTAATTTATTATTATTCAACATATTTCGGTTTGAATTTTGAGACAATTTAAACAATGACTCAAATATTTAAAATTAAAAAATATAAATAATGTCTTATTGATAAAATAGGGATTCAAATTAAATAATGATCAAAAGAGTAATTATTTAATAGGAAATTGAATTACAAATGTACAATTTTTTAATATATTCAAATATCATATTTTAAAAGTACATGTATTTAAAATTTATTTCTCTATCTAATTTAAATAATAAACTTTAAAATACACATATTTAAAATATACACTTTAAATACAAATAGGTGTTACGAAACACAACCTAAATGAATTTTGGATATAATGGACATGTGAGTTTGTAGGGTCAGTTTTTGTTTCTTGGGTTTTTGATTTGGTGTTGTCTTTGATTCTGTCAAAGAATTTGCAAATTTTGGTAATAATTTTATGGATGAGAGCTTCTGAATTGTTTTAACCTTTGTTTTTAGGCATAAATTAAAGGAATAATAAATATATATTTTTATAATTAATTTATATAAAATATGATAAAAGTTAATTTTTATTTTAATATTATTGTCAAGTAGATAATTTTAAGTAGTCGATTGATTGTACTTGAATTTTGTGATCCGATAGCTATACGTCTAGGGATTCGAATCCCCCTTCCTAAAAATTGTAATTTATTAAAAAATAATAGTCGATTGATTAAATTTAAGTTGATTTTTTTTATTTTTTATGTAAATTAATTATAAAAAATATATTTATTACACTCTTAATTTATATCCTTAAAACATAAGAAATTTT